AAGAGCATCAGTAAGAAGTTACAAAAACAGTATTAGTTATATACAGTGATTTGATACAGTGAGTCCTGCTTTCAGCATTATTAAAGGGTCACCTTTCAGCTAAAACTGAAAGGAAGTTTTAAAAGACCAAAGTTACTTTGATTGCAGAGACATATTGAAGTAAAAAAGAAGGTATAAAACTCTTACCCTAAGAGATTCAGAACATGTGCATTTGGCAAGTTCATATCAAAAACTTGTACCATACACCTAACTTTTGATAAACATCTGATTGTAACTGCTAAAATACTGAAGGCGCCCTACATGATCCTCTCCAAGGCACAAGATTTATTCTTGTATTCACTGTTTACTTGACAATTTTAAAATTTAATATAGGAATACAAATACGTATTCAAACACCTTTATCCTTCCGAGATACTAGCAGTTAAAATTGTAAGTCTAGAAAGAGGTGAGAAGAAAGGTTTCCTCAAGCAGAGGAGAGCAGCAATAATGCTAACTTCCACAGATAAACAAAAGGAAAAAAAATTGCTAGAAAAGAAAGTGCTTAAAAAGCACCAAATGATCTAAATCTTGAACTTTTCTAATGAACCTCTTGCATGCGTTTTTTTGAATGCACTCAGCAGTTGATCTTTCTACATATGAAAAGTGCATAAAATTAGAACCATGCAGATGGAATGCATATTTCAATTTGTGTACATTAAGTACTTACCTGAAGTTAATTTTATACAGAAACTGCTGGTAACTTTAGTCCTCACTTTCTGGGAAGGCAGTGAAAAACAAGGAAGAAATCCCTACTTGGCCCTTATCCTCATAAGACACAAAAAATGGAACTTGAATTCCTTTTTGCTGGAAGCAAGAACAGTATCTTGCAGTCCTACTCTATACCAATAAAGGGTCTGGACAAATTTAGAAAATGCTTAGCTGTGGTGGAATATTTGATCACAAGCAACATAGCAGAAAAATATGTTTCGGTTTTGATTAGTTCCAGAGAGTGTTCACCCTTGCAAAGTTCTACTTACCACACAATCTGCATTCACTGGATTGACAATGATGAGTACCTTTTATTGGCAAAACTTCCATTTTGAATGGCAAATATAAAGAATATGCAAAAAAATTCCTTAAACTACTCACAAGATAAACTGCAGATTTTCCAGTGTTTAGAACATGGTGAACTACAACTTTAAGATTCAAAATTTAAAGGTTTAGACTAAAATTTGAAATTCTTAAAACAGCTTTAAAATTAAAAATTGAAATACTTGCTTAGAATGAATCAGATCCTCTCTCTCAAAAACAGCAGCATATGCAAAACAATTTTATAGCAAAATATAATCTTTTGACAAAATATCCTTCCTAAGGATATTCAGCATTTCCAGCAAGACTCACCAATTTCCCTTGTGGAAGGGCCACTATAGCAGTTATGCTACAGAGCCTGATGTACATGACACCAGCAAGTTCTTCCTATCCAAAGTATCTACACTAAACTTGATTACTTTTCTATCCATTCCAAGAAGAAAAACCACCCTCTCCTTCCAAGAGAAAAGGCAATTGGTGAAAACTACTCTGACGGGAATTAACGAGTGAACCTATTCAGTGCTGAATGAAACTTCAACAATGAGTCAAGCTTCAGGATGAAGAAAAAAGTCTACTCAAACATCTAAAGGTATCTTGGTCTTTCCTTCTAGAGGGTCACCCATGTGGATTCCACATGGCCTGCTGATCCACACTATTGCTGTCACGTAGATCTGCTCCTTTACAAATTGAGACGAGCTCACCCAAAATCTGCCAGTGCTTTCCTCTTGAATTGCCAACAATGTGTACTGCAATTCAGTAGATATATACTAAGAGTGTGTGTGTGTGTGTGTTTTTTTCCCCCCCTCTCAGTTTGCATTCTGAATTACACTTCTTTCTAGATCTACTTGGTACAACGCAAATAGGAAATTTTCATTAATTCCTGAGACAGCCTTTATTTTAAAAACATGTGTCTGGAATTGAATATCAGAGAGTAATTATCAGCTTATCTGCAACCCAGATAAGCATTAAAAAGTACCTACTAATATAAACAAATACAAAAAATATCCTTCATGACCCTTAAACCTTACAGAACCCTTAGTTCTGTCTTCATGGAATCTGTGGGCAAGGGAATAAGATCCAAGTTAAGACACTGCTATACTCAACTACAGAAAGTATTCTGAACACCTGCTCTCATCTCCTATGCAAAAACAACAATTCACAGAAAAAAAATCCTGCATAACCTCAAGAGCCTATTTAACCATATACATATTTTTTTAAAAAAGGTCATTAAATTTTAACTGAAAGACCAGAAATAAAAATACCACAACCCTTAGCAAATTGCCTTCATTTTCTAGAGTTTGCATGGGAGAAATAAAGTACCCAAGTCTTTCTGATAAAAAGCCAAGTCTTTGGCTTTTTTTTTTATTTTATTTTTTAGTCTTTATCTTTGATAAAGACAAATAAAGAAATGAAAAATGATCTTCAGACAGTCATTATAAAGCTGCCAAAATTCATCAACGTATAGTTATTGAGAAAAGAAAATCCACAAAAAAAAATGCACAGGATAAAATCTTACAAATTCCTAGGCAAGACAACAAATAAAGCATAGCAGTCATCTAGACACATTAATGAATTATTCCATCAAAAAGGTCAAATAATGAATAAACAACCATAGAATTATTTTTATTTCTAGCATGTACGTGTGTGTTAAAGAAAAGAGAAATTCAAGGGAGTACTATAACTAAAACTGACTATATTTTGGGCCAACCTTACCTGTTGCATCCTCGAAATCAGGAAGTGCTACACTACCAAATGGTGAAGAATGGAACCAGAATTACTCCTCTACATTAAAGACCACCCTTTTAAAAAGTAGAGCTATAAGTTCTGAGCTTAACTCTCAGGAAAACATGCTAATATAGAAACAGAATAATAATTAGTTACTAATCAACAAGTTATCATTTTAAAAACAATAAAAAGACATAAAAATATTATTCCAATCAAATGCTTACCTTGCTACCCCCTATATACAGTCTCTTCAAGATTAGAAGTTTCTAAGAAAAATCTGCGTCAACTTAAATTTAAGACACAGGAAACATAAGGGATGACAAATATAGCCACCCATGATACTGAATCTATCAAAAATATACAAGCCTAGTGCTCTGAGGTTAATGTCATTGTATGTTAATTTCTATATGTGCTTTAAAATACAACACCCTTGCTGATTTAAAATCTTTTTTCTTCTATTTAGAGGTTATTCAGGAAAATAACTTATGATGAACCCAAGTGAAATAAAGAGCTGCCCACCATGCAAAGTACCTTCTCTTTTTAAAGGTCATTTCCTGACAAATTCTAAGAATCTGCTTATCATATACAGTTGGTCCAATCTTTGCTCCAACTACTTGTATCAATCCGTTGTAAAAGTCTTTTATCTGGTAATTGCATCACGTTGGCACATTATAACAGCTAGTCCTAGCAGTAGGTACATATTGAACTAGAATGCAGCTTACAAAGTTTTTATTGTTAAAAGCAGTGCAAATACTAGATGAGCACTTGGCATTATTACCAACCTAAATAAAAACTTATATTCTTGAAGAAAATCTTTCTGAAATTGACACTTCTTTTTTGTTGTTGTGATTTTTAAGCATTCCAGCATGCTAGAAATCACATGCTGGTTGAGGATTAGTTCAACAACTAGTAGACATCAAAGTATTACACTGCACAGTAAAACACTCAGAAGTAAAACACTCAGTAAGCAGTTTCTTGGGAATCCAATTTTTACTTTAGATTGACAGAATCGCCAAGTGTCCACCTAATACAGTAAGTAGAAGACATACAAAGTGTGCACACACACATGCAAGATGGAAAAGAAAACCCGTACACATACTTTGCCCAACTTCCCATTACAATATATCAGCAACCTATTCTTACAAATCTTTAAGGCACCCATTTTGTTGCAGACCTTTGAAAATCAGCACAGACAGAATGCCAGAAGAGGGTCTTCATACCACAGAATTTCTCTTCATATACAGGTCAATAAATTTCTAAATAACACCTATTTTTTGTTTGTTTTTGTTTTGTTTTGGTGTGCATGTATTTCTCAGGAAAACTGCTGATAAGACTGCCAGCTTACATTCAAACATAAATACTCCATAACTCCAGCTCAACGCTGGTGCCAAAACAGCGACCGCTGCAGCACCCGAATTGCCGCAACCTACTACGCACTGTTCTAGATGCATTCAAAAAAAATGCCAGATTATAGATGGAGACAAAATGTGAGCCTCAACTAGACCAAGCTCCAAATAGGCATACTACCCAAGCAGCCTTCTCTCCTCTCCCTTCCCTCTAAGCCACTGCCCTACTCCTTGGTAACTATATGGCCTGATAGAGTTTAACTCTATATGCATTCGAGATGCTCAGTGTAGCAAACCAAATGGACATGTGTCATTTCCTACTTTTCCAGTGCATGGTTTTATATAAATATTTTCAGTAATTTATGTTATAAAGAGTCCATAGCAATATTCACCTAGCTATTTGTGTTTTCTCATCTACAATTTGAAGAGTGGAGTTTAGCACACATTAGGAAGATATTAAATTACTGCTGCCTTTGATCACCTGAGTCTACAAAGAGAATTTCTCCCCCATATTGTAAAGAAGTCCCTACTTGAAAATAAAATTAAATACATGTACATACAAATCTTCCAAGAGCTTTGGAGGGTGCGCACTATGATTCTTGAGTCAAGCAAACAGGTGCCACTCTATGAAGTGGGGGAAAATAGTACAAATGTGTGAAGCTCTTTATGTGGGAAATTACAAGAGAGTTAAATGGCACTGAGCAAGGCACAAAAAAGTGCTTTTAAAATAGAAACAAGGGAACATGCAGAGAACCTCAGTATCTAATTTAATTAATGATTGAGAATGCAAAGGCTCCAACTGGTGAAACATTAGCAGCAGCCATGAATTTCACTGTAGTTCTGTATAACAAGTAATCTTACCTGAGTGATTCTCAAAAAAATGTCAACACATCGATTGTATTTTTCATCTGATCCTGTCAATGCTGAGATGACAGGCCCTGCAGGATGCAGTGAGAGATCAATGATGAAAAACAGATGTTTAGTCTTTTCACAATCAAAACCTACAAGACCAGGCAAATAAGAAATTTTGTCTGAGATTTAGGCTTCCTTATATCTAACAAGCCCTCCCTTTACATAATCACTTACATATACATGAACTGACAACTGCCTTCCTCACTTAGAAGGGACTAAAACACTGGACCCTCAGATCATTCATATTACCAACATAAAACTTTAAATCTGGTCCCTAACAAGCAGACACTACTCTTCCAAGTACTACTTGGTCACATGGCTAGATATCTGTATCAGCTACTTTCTACATCAACTCCGTTGCCTTTCCTGAAGTAGGCCTAACTTTGTCCACCAATCACACAGAATACTTAAACCTTATATAAACTCAAGTGCAATTCAGAAGACCAGTCAAGAGCAGCAATGCACAGATATACTGAACACAGCTAGTTCAAGCGAGGAGCAATAAATTCATAATCAAAACTTTAAAAAGTATGTTAGCATGTACATTTGGGAACTGCCCAACTTCAATATACTTACTTCCAAACACTGCCTTAAACTAGCATTTTAATCACACTAGTTACATACTTCCAAAGGGAGTTTAGTGTTTGGATATAATCAAGAACAGAATATTTAATATTAGGTAATTGCCAATCAGATGCAATCACAATGAGAAAATATGTTACAGATAAAACAAATTTATATCCAATATGCTATAGTAAAAACAAGCTTACTAGGGGAAAATTTAGATAGCCGCCTTTTTCTTAACTATTAGACATATTTAATATTTCTATTAAAAAAGTGAAAGTTTAAAACAAAAAACATCTTGACAATCATTAATTTTTAATTAATATATCAGCAGTGTAATTAACCCCTACTGAATAATCACAATTTGCAAGGTGGATATCTCAGAAACTGACATAAAAAATAGAACAGAAGTTTACGAAAGAGTAACTTAATATTTAAAAGATCTGTAGGCTAAACTTTGGATACTTCCTTTATGGGATAAAAAGATAGAATGGCCCTGAATATCAAGAAAACTATAAGCAACTTGGTAAGTTTCCTAAAGTTCTGTCATGCAAGCAAGCAGAAGATAGTACTTTCTCTACAGTTAAGTAATTTAGCAGACTTGCACACATACATAGTACACATTTATTCTGCCAGCTAAATGAATTCCACTTTTACCCATTTCCATATTACTGCAAATCTCTAAAAATCACAAGACTGAGCTAACCAGCACAAGCAACTAAAATACCTCAATACAGAGCGCACTAGAAAATCATACAAAACACAAATGTAACAGGATTGTTCAAAAAGACGCGGCAGTATAGGCGATTTTATCCCATTCCGTTTGCTTGAACAAACGGCCATTTTCATTTACAGACAACTATATCTGTTGTCAAAATAAACAAAAATATTTTTCAGTAAGTCCATTGCAATAGTGACATTTAGAAATTAGGTTTATCAGCTTCATTACTTCATAGATACATTCAATAACCAGCAAAAATATTTCATCATTTTAAATTAACATATATTTAGAATTTTATGCTAATGTCAAACAAATGCAATCACAAAAAGACAAGGCCTACCTAGAAACACAATCATCAGTAAGACAAAAAAGCAGCCTTTCCACTTCTGGTAGGTATTGTGTTTTATACCACGACACCGCAGCCTCTGAGGGTCAGATGAATTGAGACCCACAGCAGCTGCAGTGCAACGTGAGAAGCACACGCAGCCACAGCCCTCGTCGGTCCAGCCCAATCACCTGCACCATTCCAGCACAGGGCAACTGACAACTACCACACTTCTTGAGCAGCTCATGAGCTCCCACTGCTCTACTGGTAAATGTTAAATACAAACTAACCTCTTTAAAGATGCACCACAATGCTGACTGCACCTGCCGTTAGCTGCAATGATGAATCCCAGAGAGATGTTTGTCAGTCAGATCTCTACAGATGTTGCTTAACTTTATGCTACAGCTGTATCCAAAGACGGAAATGAGAGAGTAATCAGGCACAAACCCTCCCCCAAAATCCCTGTATGCTCTACTTCTAATAGCTAGTCTGACAAATTCACTAAAGCAAAGGTTTTCTTTCAGCTACTGATCACAGATTAAATTAAACTCTGTGGTCAACTACAGAGAGCAGTATCTTAGCTGATGCAATTAATTAATGAAGAAACAAGAACACTAAGACCCTTTGAAAAAGGTATCACATAGATTACATCCATTTTAAAACGGCGAAGAGTGAATGCATCTTTTATTGCACAAGGGAGAAGAGGAAAAACGATTAAGAGATTCAGACTTTCCCTAATTATATTTTTAAAATAATAGCTCCAAGCCCTGTATTATGAGTAACATCCATTAAAACTTTAATCTTCCTGCAAAATATCACTAAATTATTATATGGAAATTTCAAACTCTGTGACAACAGAAATATTTAAACATGGCAATTCATATAAACTTAAACTATTGTCTTTTAAAAACAGAAAAAGTAAGTCCAGAAAACAGATATTCTCAATGAATATTCACCTACAGAGACCTCAACTTTATCAAAAAACAAATAAATAATACTGTTATTAGAAATATTTTCATTTGCATATAAGCACTTCCTAATCTACTGAGCATCGCTCTTTACCTCTCTCCGATTACTCTGAAAACCAGAACAAAGTTGAAAATAATGGCAAATGGTGTTTCTTTGCAAAGACTGTAGCCATTTTTGTTCTTTATTTTTTTCAATGAAACGCACATATTGTTAGACTGTATCAGTTAAAGGTAAACCCTTCTCACTATAGCACAAGTTGTTTTCAACCTTTCTTATGCAAGAGAAAGACAAAATACTTTCTTGCAAATCTTTTACTAGGTAAACACTTCCTCAATCATTCACATATCTAAGTTTCTAACAGCAGAAGAAATTGGTGCAAAATTTCCACTGAAATTTGATTAAAATTGCTCTAAACTTTTCAAACAAGAAATTACTAAATAATAGTACACTAGGTGAATTAGTTACATAACAATCTCAAGATCATACTCAATATATATTCAGTGGCAGCTTCCTTTTAAATGCAAAGTATTAAGGATCTGCTAGCTAACAAGCTGACTTTTTTCTTTTTCTTTTTTTTTTTTTTTAAAGTCTGCTCCAGTAACTAGGCAACTGACAACTGTCCAACTGAGAATTATCTCTCTGAACAGCTGGCAATCAACACTTGGGGTTTCTTTTTCTTTTCAGTTTTAAACTAGTAAAAAGACTAAAAATTACAGCTATTTTATAAACCTAAGCAGTTCTAATGATCCTACCTCAGAAATCTCTACTCACACAAGTAGTCATTTTCCCAGTTCCACTATCCCCAAAGTTACTCCTATAAGTAGATGTTTATATGTGAATCTGAAAAACTTAGCTTTACACGTATGAAGTATTTAGCTCGCTATTAGCAACACTTAAGAAAAAAATAAAAATCAAAAGTATCAAGAGCAAGACACATTTATGTATGACAAACCACCTTCAAGAAACTGCGAGAACAGAACTAATGTTTTTTCTAACTCCATTATTTTCTCTTCCACAGCTCAAAAAGTAGTATTTCATTTCACCATTATTTCTAGTGTTGATCTGTAAAACACTTATTCTTCTTCCCATAACACTCTGGGTTATTCTTAAGAGTCAGAAAATAACATATGACAGTTTCAGTTTTACTAAATAAAGGCAAAAATAATGGTGAACAATGCTTGTTATATTCATCTTACCTTCAGTTTAATATGAGCAAGGAAGCTAGAAAATGGATTTATTAATTTTAAAACCCTGTAAAATTGTGTTGTTATACAATCAATGTATTTGAAAGTTTTTTTATGAGTCAGAATAAAATATTTTTCAAAAGAACACTTTCACGAAGATTAGGTAGGTGGTCTTCCATAATTCATGGATACTTCAGAAAAAAATATTTGATATTCAAACTCAAGAAAAACATCTCAAATACAAGCCACTTGGTAAAAATATAGCACAACCACACAGCACTTCATACACTCTAAGAGGTGGGAAGGAAAATTCCCTGTTGTATTCTCCAAACCTTTAAACAACTTCTGATTAGAAATCTATTATAAAAACAAAATCGCTAGTCTTTTGTTAAAAGCAGTAAAACCTTATCCCCATTTAATTATGTGTTTATTAATTTCTGTTCTTAACATGATCTAATTTAAGTACACATATGACTTCATATTCCAATAAATTGAAAAACACTGACCGAGCTCAAATTCACTCAAGCACCGAGTTCAGGCCAGGCAAGATCCTGTTGCAAGATAAACAACATGATGCGATGTAACACAATTTTGCGTGCGGGTGTGTGCCTGGGTGTGCGAGTGAGAAAGACAGAGACAGCGACAGAACACGCGGGATAGCATTCGCCATGGAAAAAACACATATACCTACAGTAGTTCGCAGTCCAGTGCTTACTATAATTCAGAATGGAGAAACAGTAAGACAATGAGTGCTTAACACAACAAAGATACATTAACTACTGACTCTTACTAGATTATTTGAAATAAAACCATGCATAATAAATAGCTTCACAGAATGGTCACTTTCCTTATGACATTCACTTCATTAAAAGCAGCGTGCTATGTCCGTATTTACATTTCAGATCAGAACCTACTTTCCCATATGCACCCTATGCAGAAAAGATCAACTCTTATTATTTTAAGTGCAGGGCATAATTTTGAACTTCAGTTCCATTAATTTAGTGGGACAAGCCTGAACAGAAAATTATCCGAAAGAGACTGCAAAATAACCAAAGGGTCAGAAGTCCAGACAATCAGAAAAAGCCAGCTGGTAACCTGAAAAGAAAACAGTGAATTGTATACTGGAAGAATAAAGACTGTAGTAGACGACAATATTTTTAAGCATTGCTTCCTACTTTGTTAACCAGAAGTTCAGTGAAAAACAATTTTTTTTTCCCTGTAATAAGAGCAGCCAGGTAATTCTCCAGTAATTATGTCACCTTTTGATGCACAAAAACAGTTACTCCAACAGATATCATTCTATATACTGAATCCCTATATCACAGGAAACTATTAGGTCACAGAAATTACTGCTGCGTTACAACCAACTTTCTTCTTTCCAAACATCAAGTTACTTAGACTACCCTAAAACTTGTCGGAACAACAAACAAAAAGTTTCACAGCAACTTCCATGAGAGAATACTCCATAACCAAATGTGTATTAATACAATTTACAATCGCAAACAAACAGTATGGAATAAGTAATTTCCATTCTGAGAAAGCAATAACTATTTCTAGAAAATTTATAAGAACAATAAGACAAAACTTTATATTTGCTGTTTCACAAGGTTTGTAATCCCTAATGCTATATGAGCATGAGGGTCTGGAAGAAACCCAAAAGTCATCAGCTTAGGGAATGCCAGGACCTCAGAAAATTCCATAGGCTCGTGGTCAAATGCAAACAGAAAGGCTAACAAGGACTAGCCACACTAGAACCAGTCTGTCATACTACTACTTACTAAAGTGTACTAAAGCTACTTACTAATTTTCCAAATGATACAATATGGCTGTAAAATCAGAACTGCACAAAGTCAAACTGGAACTTCATCTGCACCTGTTACAGTGAAACTGCATGAATCTTACTGCTATAGTCAATTATATTTTTATTATTTATTTTAAAAGGGAATATTCTTAGTCCTATCATTCCAGATTGCTAATGTTTATTTTTATTTTCCAAAGGCTCCTGAACTGCTACTGCTTTATCTTTCCATTTTGTTGCACAAAAAAAAAATAAAAGAAAAAAGTGTACTTATGATTTAATCAACAAACAGAAGAATTATGCTAGAGCCCTGAACAAAAGATCTAATCTTTGCAGTGTCCTTTCCAACCGACTGTAAATAAACTATAGTTAAATGAAAAGGCATGTAATTTGGTATTTGGAATATCCCTTATAAACACTAATTTTCTGTCACATCCTAGCACATCTGATACTACCTCATGTATAATGCAAAAAAAAAAATCTATTTCATTTTCTTCTATTGACACTGAATTTAATTTAGTATTGTGGCTCTTTGCTCAGATTATGTTATTAATTCTGCAATCAAGATCTTTTGAATGCTTTTACTTCTTCCAAGGGTTTTCACAATTCCACAGTGATTTTTTTTTTCCCACCCTAACATACCTTTCAAAATAAAGTACTGTCTTTTCCAACTTTCTCGAAGGGGAAGGAAAAGAGGAAAAAAAATCAAAAGATGACAAGCATCAGTTCTTAAGATATATCCTTCAATAAAAAAAACTACCCATATCATTTTAACCTGCAACATTTAAGTATTACAAACCGCTCTCAGGAAAGATATGTACAACAGGTGCACTAAAAATTCCATATCAGAAATTGTTATTTTAAATAGAATACAACCTCTGTATTAATAAAAGAAATTATCCACCTATGCCTGACACTAAACATAGAAACTAGGAAAGCTAAATACTAAAGTGTTCTGCTTACATCCATACCAACTGTCTTCGCTATTTCAGAGAATTCAGTCATCTTGCTAAACTAGAACAAATGCAAAGCAGCTCTGCTTTTTCCAATAGAAAAGATTCAGTAGCATGCAGTCAACTCAGTTCTGTATCATCATCTATACTTCAAAATATCGGGACCAAAACACCAAAAAAATGTTACCTCTGTTATAAATCTGCATGAATTAAAAAGTCCTCTAGAACAAAGTTCAATTACAAAATGCTAATTTGTTGAACTTTAGGAAGAAAAAAGATTACTCAATAAAAGAAGCTCAAATACTGTATATCATTATTTAATATCCCAAGAAATTTTGTAATAGAGAAATGTTAAGTCAGATATTATTGTTACACGGAAGTATAAAAAAACTTGCTTTTTGCACATAAATACAGTTGTTATAAAATGTACTTTTTTTTTATTTATCCAAAGTATTTCATTTTTATAACAGAGTTTTCTTTCACTATCATGATAAACACAATATAAAGAAAATCTGAAGAGCAGCACTTGTCCTCTTTACTTCACTCCAGAGCCAGTGAACAAAGCAATGAAGCAGAAAGAAGGTACATAATAGATTTAAAGTAAATGGCCCGTTCTTTAAGAAAGCAGCCTCTCATTTTTACTCATTCTAGCTTAATTGTCATTACAATGTCTGGAAACTTCAAAAGAACAATTATTTTAACGCCAGCTGTCAAGTTGTTTCCATAAAACTACATTTTTAGCAAAAAAAAAACAGAAGCAACCAGAAAATGTTAACGAGAATATTTTCTTGCAGAAACATTGCAAACATCTTTAACCATATTTTAGTTGTTAAGACTACTAGATCCCAGTCAATTTAGTACAGGAACTAAGAACACATTCACTGTTGCACTTCGTAATATGCTTTTCTTCTAAATAACACTTCCAACTGCACTGGATGCTTGCTCTTCAATACATGAAACACTCTGACATGTGCGTATTTCCCTTGGGATTTAAAAATAAAGAATTGGCTAATTTTTGCACCTACCTGGGTAAAAATCTTTGGATTTAGACAGCTTGATGGTGGCCCCAGTCTCTTTCTGCAACTGAACAATTGTCTGTCCTCCCTTCCCAATTATAGATCCAGCAGCATAACTAGGTATGAGGACCTTTAGAAAATATTGGCCATCCTCTGAAAAATTGAGATATGCATGGTTAAGTTGGTTTACAAACTTTAATCTCCCCCTCCAGACCCACAAATAAATAAAATATTATAGTTTTAAAGTCGCCAGTAATTCATGCATCCCCATCTAACCAGTTGCGTCATTTAGCAAGACACGTTTGGACTATGTCTTTCCCATTTTAAATTATGTACATGTTTATAATAATATCAAAGAAGCCACATATGTCTCTTAATTCTGTAAAAGAATGAGAACAAAATCTAAACTATATATTTCAGAAAATGGAATTCTTCCAATTATTACGACATAATAGCCGTAATAAAAGCCATAGCACACTAAAATGAACAGAGTCCTTAAAAAAATAAAATAAAATAAAGCCCTGCACAAAAACATGTCCAGTGACAACTACGATCTTGCCTGAAAATAAAGCGAAAGAAATGCCAAAACTAAGAAGGAATGAATTGTAAATACTGATGGGCTATTTGTTTGTCATTAGCAAACACATGAGAATAGCAATTAGTTATTGCCTGCATTCTTCTTAAGTGAGCAAAACGACTACTCTGCTACCAAATAACCCACCCAAAATGTGGGGTTTTATTCCAAGCATTTCAGCCACTGCCAAGAAAACAACTCAACATGGGGCGGATGGAATCACTTGCCTAAGTAATCCTGGTGTATTCCTTTAGCACTTCTTAAGTGACAATGATCTCTTTTAAGCTCATTAATTAAAGGACATTAAGAAGAATTTTTCCCAATTGATCAAAAGCCTAAGTCACTTATTTTAAATGCACTTAAAAGGTGAGAGACAATGCCAAACCTCTACCCACCACTAGCTTTAAAGCACACAATCAGAATAGGTAAAATACATACGTGTCTGTGTGCGTGCGCATGCATGAATTTTATATATATATATACATATAGGCTGTAGGTGTATATATATATATATATATATGTACATACATACAATGCATGAGAAATGAATGGGGCGGGGGGAGGAGAAGGATCCCCAGTCTCGCTCAGGAGCTGCACAATTGTCTGTGCTCTGATCCCAGACCTAAACCCAGCTACGCTGAAGTCTGGGAACCTCCAGCAAGTGCATCAAAAAAGTGCAAGACAATAAGGGTAGGCTGATTCCCAGACTTCTGCTCTCCCCGGCAATCAAGACAGTGCCCCATATTTTTTTGCTGTTGGTGGTCGTGTTTTTAACATCCTCGCCTTTATCGTGCAAGCTGTTTTGTAAAGTTCTCTCCCCCTTCTTTTTTGGAACAAAAGGCAGAGGTCGCGGCTCGCCTCGCCGCAGGCTGCGCGGGTGCCACGCACGGCGGTGCCCATCCATGTTAGCGTCGCCGGCTGCACAAGGTGCTATATTTAGCCCGGCTCCTCACGCTGCTCGGGCGCCTTCACCTCTGCCTGGGCGCATCGCGGCGGCGATGCGGGGGGCGC